CTTCTTCTCCTTGTCAGGCTCCCTTCAACCTTTATTTTCTGTCTTCACTCTCACTTCCTTCTCATCTGACATTCACCTTCTTGCTCAATCTTTCATTACCATTCTGTTCACTGAGCTGTTATTTGAGCTAATGAGAACACTATAAAGTCAGAAAATGAGGCAGTATTCACTTCATATTGAGTCTGCATATATATGTGTGTGTGTGTGTGTGACCTAGTACATTTGATTTCCTTGGCATAGTAACTATTTTTGCTCAGCATCTTCCTGTAGGTTCATGGCAACCATCCCTGCACTGTTTCTGCAACCACAGCTGTCTCCGTCACCAGGGCCTCAGGGCGTTGTTAAGGAAGCATCTCCAGGGAAACTGATTGAGGGAGTTGGTGAGACGTGAGGACAGGGTCTCCGAGAGTTCAGATATGTTTTCTAGTAGAGTAGACGAGGATGAGAACTGGGGAAGATAGCAGAGAGGCAGATACATTGTTTGGTATCCTTCATAAATAGTTACTTAATGGTGAGAACCATGCATGGAGGAGATTCTACAAATGTGTAAAATATGTTTTCAGTCAGTAACTGTTAAATCAGCATTACAAAAGGTCCTTGTCCCTCTGTTTGTACAAACCTCATTTCCAAAAAAAAGCTGGGACATTTTCCAAAATGCAATAAAAACAACAGCCTGTGATTTGTTAATCAAACATTTATTTAACTGACAAAAGTGCAAAGAAAAGGTTTTCACTGTTTTCACTGACCAGCTTAATTGCATTTTGGAAAAATAAACACATTTAGAATGTGATTCCTGCAACACACTCAGAGGCATGTTTACCACTGTGTTACATGACCTTTCCTTTTAATTACACCTTTTAATTGTTTGGGAACTGAGGATACTAATGGTTGCAGTTTTGCAAGTGGAATATTGGCCCATTCTTGCTGGACCTTTGCACCTTTCACTGATAACGATCTGGATGGTCTTTTTCATCTTTGGCACAGAGTGCTTGACCTGAAAACCAGCTGAAATGTGAACTTGTCTGACCACAGAACATGTTTCCACTGTCTGTCGGTCCATCTGAGATGAGCTTGGGCCCAAAGAACTCGGCAGCGTTTCTGCACAGAATTGATGTATGGCTTCCTCGTTGTGTAATATACTCCAGGTTGCATTTCTGGATGCAGCGGTGGACTGTGTTAAGTGACAGCAGTTTTCCAAAGTACCCCTGAGCCCATGTGGCTGTATTTATCACAGTAGAATGACAGGTTCTCATGCAATGGCTCCTGAGGGATCAAAGGTCACACACATTCAACAGTGGTTTTCGTCCTTGGCCTTTACACACTGAGATTTCCCCGGACTCCCTGAATCTTTTCACAATATTAAGTACTGTAGATGGTGAAAGACCTAAATTATTTCCTATCTTGCACTGAGAAATATTCCTTTTGAACCGACTGACAATTCTCTCTGAGAGTTTGGCACAAAGTGGTGAACTGTGACTCATCCTTGACTGCAAAGATTGAGCCTTTTGTGGATGCTGCTTTTATTCCCAATCACGATACCCTCACCTGCGCCTTTTCAGTCTAAAACAGATCTAAAATATTACTAAAAAAAAACAAATACACAAATTACAATACATAAATAAATACAGCAGCATATTCCAGCCGTGCGAGTCATGAGACCTAAGTGTCTGGTGTAATGTACTGTCACTACACTTTTGCCACCTTGTTAGTGAATCTGGCATGTGGTGAAGTAGGTGGTAGTGGGTGACAAGAGTATTGATATAATTAAAAACAATACTGAGAATTATTACTGTTTTGCTTGATTTCATCTAAATCTTTTGAGCTGAGGCTGAGGGAGATATATAGAGAAACAGAAAGAGAGGGCAAGACTCTCCATGTAATAATTAAAATCCGTTGATAGGGCTCTTTTCTTGAAATCCAGCCACTGCACAGTTCTTTAAAGTCATAACACTGATCATGATCTCAGATCCCCCGCTGGTCGTCATATGAAACGTGTTTTGACAGTTTGTTTGTGAAAGAAAATTAGCTTGTTGCTGCCTCGCAGGATGGCTACTGACCTATCTAATTCCCCCCTTTGAAGAAATGCAGTGAGGTGTTTGTGCTTGTGTCACACTCTGCATGCTCACTCTGTAGTTCCTGTTTTATTTTGACATTGCATGCACTTCCTCTTTTCACCTCCTTGTCTCTTTACCTCTAGATGGAGCCCAGCCTCCTGTTGCTCCTGCTCCCACCAGCCGTTTTGTTGCTCGTTTACGCATCATTGTGACCTAGCAGTTTTAAACCCCCTTCTTGCCTTTATCAGATGCTAGATTATTGTTATCCCTTAACAGTGCCACACCATTTTCTTCACACCAGGCTGTGGCATATGTATATTTCTGTTTGCAGCCTGTTTGGTTCTTTTAGTGAATATGTGTGGGCCAGCCTCTTGTTATTTTTTTGTGTCTGCATTACGGAAGACTTGTGAGAGTTTATGTGAAGTTTCTGTTTTTGCCATTAAAAAAGAAAACAAGACACTCAGCAAGTTCTCGTCTCTGGTGCCTCCATTTGGGTCCTGAACTTGAAATCTGCGACAATTTGGGGTGGGGAGAGGCCTCACTACTGGCATCCCTCTGGGAAACAAAGGGCGGCGTCTGTTTGGATCTGGCCTAGGTCTAGGTGCTTTAATCAATTTATTAATTAGATGCAATTATACTGTTAATTAGGAGCTGATGAGCTGGTGGTCTGATGGATTGTGATTGTTGTCCTCTGCTGTGTCCTTAGAGAGAAGGAAATGAGAAATGAAGAGAGAGTCTGAGAAACAGTGATAAAAAGGTAGGGATAAGAGAATGAGTTTGGAAAAGAAGTAAAGTGGGACACTTACTGTGAATTACAATAAGTGCACTTCAATGAGAAAATGAGGCGGGGCTGTCAAGAGCCAACAGTTTGAAACATAACTCTACTGCACCAGCTGCGCATCACTATAACTGTGTGGGTTTGTGTTAGTTTGTGTTAGAGACTCTATTCCTGAGCAGTAGAGTGTACCTACTTGAGGTACCGGAACCAACAGCAGGCTGGCAGGTCCTAAGGCTGGTACTGTAACAACATGTAATTATAACCTGCATGATACAGTGTGCATGTGAATTAAACTATTTGTATGTATGCACGCTACAAAGTACAGTGTGGCGGCACAGAAAATTTGTTATTTTAAAAAAGAAAGAAAAAACATCCAGAGAAATCCTGTTTAAAAACAACTAATTAAAAGCTGTAAAGTTATATTTAGCAGACATGAGAAGAAAATGCAAATGCTTGTTTTCCCTCTAACTTGCTCCCTGTGCCACTCACATGCACATCAGTCTAGATTACACTCATTCTCAGTTACTACGTTATAGCTGCACTTCATATATGGCACAAGTTGCCATGGAGACAGTGTTACGGTGTTATATGATTGAAGGTCTCAACTGACAACAGCTCTTCAGATCTCTGTGAGAGTAAACTTACAGACTCGATGAGGAAGTTGACTGCTGTGTCCTGACAGGTTCAGCCTGTTGTTTGTTGAAGATGTGAAGAGCTCAGCTGGATTCAGACAGGAACAGAGTGGGTGAGAGAGGACCTTGTGCACATTCTGTATGCTCTGTACCCTCCTGGATCTTCAAACCATATGGATCCCATACAGAGCAGGAACAGAAAATGCATACTAATAATATTTTGAACTGAATGAAAAGTCCTGTATGTAGTCATGCTATAGGAAAACTATGTACCTCTGGTAAGAGACTCCGAGAAATAACTGCATTATTTTGAATAAACTTACAACCAAGGTCCTCCATTAATGTGGCGCAAGTAGGAATGTAATTCTCTACAACAGTATGCATCCTTCTTTAACAGACCAGTTGAAATGGTACCATAGCTTATTAATAGTTAAACATAGTGTACGCACATTACACTGGCAGGTCTCCATTTGCTACCAGCCTACTGACTGTCCAATCTCGCCTGTTTTGACCCTCTCTTCATTATATTTCTTTCCATTTTTGCATCGCTAATGCATCATCCTTGCTTAAACTGACTTCTTCTTACAGAACTGCAGTGTTTATTGACCTTTAATGCTGTTGTTCATTAAGAGAAATGCCATTTTATTCCACAAACTAGCACATGCAGTATTAATCCACAGTTTAAAAATAGTTCCCAACAAATGCACTATTTAGTCCTGTTTGAGTAATGTTTGATCAAATCTAAAGTGTCCGGCTTTTCTGGGAATCACAGAGCCTTTTAAGTGTATGATGAAAAGTCAGGAGATCACCAAAGTCAGAAGAATCACACCTTTAGGGAGTGTGAATGTCTGTACAAACCTTATTGCAAACCACAGATATGGTGCCACTATGGCTAAAATTAAAACCACACAGTTACAGTCTGTTTTTAAAGATGAACTTCTTCAGTGAGAGTGAATGGGCCTGGGACAGTATGTCAAGACAGGATAGGGAGGCCAGAAAGTACTGAGAGACAGATGTAGAAAGATATTGTTCAGCTTGATACCGTCCAGATTGATCATAAAAAGTAATAAAAGGTTCTGCTGCCTGGAACATGAGTTTGAAGAACTTTTGAGAAGGAGCAAGTTTTAATGCAATATGGCGATGTTCTGCAAAAGTAAACAAATAAAAAGAAAACAATTGTGAAAGTTCCACAATCAAAGATAACTCCTTTACAGTTGCAGATTCTTTCTAAAAATGTTTTTCTTGCAGTTTGTAATTATCTATATTTCATCAGAAAAACAGATCTAAGATGAAATCTCTCCTCAAAATGAACTCCCCTGCAAATAGGATTGGTAATACCATACTGTATATGGTAGATCGTGCTTGTGAGTCTTGCACCTCAGAAGCTATCACCCCATAACATAGTCCCTTATTATGTTATAATAACTTACCTTTCTTTTATGCTTTTTCTTCCATCACCTAACAGACTGCGTCCTCTCACCTTTCCCACATAATGCTGCTATGATTGCTGTAAATCTTACCGACTATGTTTCAGGGCAGGTCCAGGATTATCCACAAGCAGGATCTAGTAGGAAAGGGGATGGTGGCGTCATCGGTGGGCACAGGGTTCGGCTGTGGAATCAAGGTAATACTTTCTGAATTATCCTCCCTGCAATTACTTTCCTCAAGTATCTTATCTCATCAGTGGCGTGGTTACTGTAGGCAGGAGTCTGCAGCTCTCAGTAATGATGCAGCGATGGAGTCAAATGAAAATACATGGGTTTTCATACACATCTGGGATTGATGTTGCAGGATAATAAAGACTTCCCGGTAGATTGATTCTGTGACTAAAAAACATAAATCACAACATGCTCTATTTTTTTAGCCACTTAAATATGTTGTTAATTTCTGATGGAAGCAAAGTATTGTTGGAAAAGTAAATTACACAAGAAACATTGACACTAAAGGGAAAACACTGGAGATTTCTTTAAATTCTACTTGAGAGGATTTTCGACCCTGACTGTGTCACACACAAGAAAAACAACACATATAAAGAATAGTCCTTTCATAAGATGACCTGACCTTCACACATATTTAGAAAAGAAATGCTGAAGAGAAGCAGCCAGACATCAGAGAAAGAAGATTAATATGAAGACTATATATCAAGTCAATATCTTACAATTCTTTGTGAGTAAGGGATTTTTAAGAGTTTCCATTTAAAAAAGAATTCTCATTTGTAGCAATCTGGCTGATCCAATCTTGAAAGATCATAAACATTCATTTTTAGAAAGTTCCTCAAACGAGGAAACGTGGCTGAGAAAGAGCTTGTTCCAGAGAGATGAGAGACAGAGATATAACCATATTGTCCTGTTCCTTAATGTAACATGACTGTTTCCTCTACAACAACGCACCAAGTTCCACAACCAATTAAAAATAAAAAATGCATATACTTACAGGCACACACACATTTGACACATGACCACGCACACAAAGAAGCACAAATATACACACAAGCACAGACACTGATGCAACAAAACAGCAACAACTGAAGCGGCGCTCTGATGATAATTACTGTAGCTGAAGTGTGGATGCCTGGAGAAAGTGTTTGTGGACTGCAGATGAGAGGAGACGGTGGTGCACACTGAGGTGGCATCATGCCCTGAACAGACAGGCAGCAGAAGTGTTTCTTCAAAGATTGCTGTGGAGCAGCAGGATGTCGACTCAGAGGTCAGGTAAGACAGGGACATCAGAGTGGAATCAGACCAGGCTGCAGAGGCAAAAACAATGGACTTGTAGCTGGGTTTTTGTTTTAATTAATTAATTGTAATAGGTCAAGTTAGAGAAACTGCATTGAAATGTTAAAGTGCCATAAAGCTGCAAAAGCCATTATAAAAGTGATGCAAGGCTTGGCCCAGTGATTAGATCAACCTCTATGCACAGCAGTTCATGAAAAGCAGCAGCAGAGGTTTATAGCACTAGTCAAGGCTGTAAAATGCCCTCACCAATATACTGTATACTGTTTAGGGTACAATGACGAGCCAGTGAATAGGTGCTGTGGCAGCGCAAAGCAGCCTCAGCAGGACCACCTGTTCAAACATGATAAAACCATAAGTCTAAAAAATAAAAATAAAGGATAGCGCAAAATCCCAATGAACAGCAAATGATGAAGAAAGGTAGGCAAGAAAAGTTTGTTTGAATTCTTACTGTAAACAAGCAACTACTAAATAGAATATCCAAAATAGGAAAGAGGCTCCTCTGTCTGTATCAGTAAAACACCACAAATGCCAACTGCACCTTTCAGCTTCACATGACAACATGGAAATACATATTAGTAGGTACAATAACAGTAGTCATCAGTATTAATGCAATTTTGAAAGGTTTCTTTTCTTATGTTCTGTTGTTCAGAAAGCCTATCTGTTTTCATTTAACACAGCTGATTATATTTGGGTAGTGTAGCTACTCATGCTGGAGAACGGGTAATAACTTTGAATTGTGAAAAATATTTTCATTCAGCCTATGAATTCTCTCTAGTCACAGTAGCAGAGGCATATCCCATCATGCAGTGGGCTGGCAGCACATTTACATTCATGTTATTTTTGTCAACAAAAACTATGACAAAAGACAAACAAACAGATTTTTGTCATGAATTTCATGCATTTTTCATCAATGAATAAAAGCTAAATGGTCATATGAAAGATGGATGAAGGGACTCGAGGTAGTTGCTGTGTTAATACAAAGTCTTAATCCACTGCCTGCACACATCTGTGGAATCGCAGACCATAGCTCCCAATATGTAAAATGTTTACTCCACCAGCCAAAATACAGACGTCTCTTGTTCAAAAGTTAATTTTGGCACTTGACCTGTTGCAATACTGTTAATAAGGAGCATTGCACATTCAGTAGTTATCTGGTGTTACCTGTTCTTGGAAGGAAAAGAGTTTATGGACTAAATTCATTTAAAATCTACTGAAAATTAGACAAGGATATGCAAAAACAAACCAAAAAGCTCATTGAACAGGAAGTGCTGTGTATGTGGAGGCAACATTAATATAACAGGCTTTTCAAACTGTGAGTGAATCCAGCCTCTGAATCACTCACTGCTCTGCAGAGCAACGAGACGCACAAATGTGTGCGAACATATAGGCAATCTTTTCCACTGCAGACGTGAACCAATAACCATGGTAATGATAATAGCTATATCTGCAAAAGACTCAAGATATATATTTTAAAGATACTGGACAAAAATGAGATTAGAACATCACTGACCACAACTAGACTATAATATGTTTTGTTGTCTATAACTAATTACTAAAAGTTGACTAACACTAATCTGCATTTTTATAAAAAGATAAAGATTTTTTTTTATTGCACTTTGTAAAATTCCAGAGAAGTTTATTTGGATTTCTGTTGTTTATGGTGTATGTTTGTTCCCACGACTTTAACCTTTCTAACTGATCACAAACATAAGTAACGCCGCCATCATCAGTAAACTCAGAAGAAAGGGAAACAGTATTTACAGGAACAAAAGGTTGACTGGGAATTAATGTTATTTTTACAACAAAAACTGAAACAATGAAAAAGTAAAGCCAATGTCAAGACTTATATCTAGTATACTGGAGGTGTTCTCTGTGCCACTGCTATCTAGAGAGACATGCTGATCCAGATTGTTAGGGTGCACTGTTTCAACCCCTACATGTCCCACTTCATAACCTGCTTTGTCTATGACATTTCACTGCAAACTAACAAAGGGAGAGAAGAGGGAAATGTCGCAAATGTGATTTTTTTGCATGCATTGTCAAGTCATATTAATATAACTGCAAATTTTCAGGTGCCCAGTAGTACAATTACAGTAACATTAAGCAAATACTGACTGATTTTCAGTGTCTTGAAACATGCACTGATGTCACAGACAAAAGATTCAGAGAACATAACGTCCAACACTATTCATGCAGGGTACAATTTGTACATTAATACTGGAAAGCTGTCTAATTCAACCCTTTAATTAACACACACACTAATGATGAAAGATTTGCGGCAAACTTCTACATACTGTGCTGTGACTTCTAAAGCAGTGGGGGACACTGTTCTGTATGTCATTATGTCTTTTGTTCTACAACTGCCCTCCATCTAATATCCACATCGATTTCGCTCCATTTGCCAATACTTATACACCCCTGAAGGTGACATTTGTTCTGCTTATTTCCTCCACAATGTAAAGGCCAAGCGAGAAACAGATGGGAAATCTAGCTCTCAGCTCTCACAAAACTGTTCCACGGTTTCATTCCAGCAGCACAAGCGTGAGACCACAATGGGGCCCCTGCACACCATCACATCAAAATGACCTTATCACCAAAAAAAGTTTGCACCCATCAATATGCTCAAGTTGGTTATTACTGTCATTATTCTTCTCTGTGCACTAAATGAGGAAGTTATTTTCCTACAAGCATAAAAACAGCAGGTGTTGCTTTAATTATATCATATCTCTTAGAAGATGCCTAAGCTATGCTTATTCTAATTATACTATCTCTATGCAGAAAACAGGAGGGCACTCTCAGCAACCTCTGAGTTAGTTCCACTGCCTGCATGTACAGGCAAATACAGTGTTTAACAAATCAATAGTCAACTGAATCAGAAGGAAGGAAAGGAGGAAAATCTGAAAGCGTGATGCAATTAATACAGTAAGAGTTTTTCCACAGTCTTTGGCTCTGTGTATATTTGTATTCTGGTAAGATCAGCTTGGTTGCACACAGACAGTGGTTCACCTTACAATGTGAAACAAAAATAGACAAGAATGGGAAGCAATATTTTTATTACATTTGTCCAAACTGATCTATCTGCAGCACCATTCCTCTGTCTGCCCACACACTGCAGGTTACATAAATGGCTCCGATGCCCCAGCCCACTCAGTGTTTTAGTGGGCAGTCCACAAATGAAAGAATTAGAATGTATTCTCTAAATGACCTGTGCTTCTCACATTCAGCAACAACACCACTCGCAGCCAGTCTTCCGTGAACTCAGCTCATATGCTAATAAACTGCATCAGTGATTTAAGATTGGTCCCAGTGTAGAGAGAATTGAATGCCCACTTAACGCAACAAGAAGTAAGACTGTCGAAGCCATGTTGTGGCCTGTCTCACATTGGCCACTGGCCTGCAGTTAGACTGTGACCACAGTCTTTGTCTAACCTTATTCATGAAGTTTCACAGTAGCTGGTCAACATGAACTGCAATTTAGTTGTCAGTTAAAAATACTATAAACATTTATATCCAGCTGCAAGGTTTTGGAAAAAGCAAGTGAAAGACAGAATATAAAATAATAGGAACATTCTGTGAGATTACAGGGAGAAGAGAACATAATGTAGTCCTGGTGCAATACAATCCATTGCAACCACGCAGACTGTCAAGAAAGATGCAACTCTGCAGTCTGAGTAAAGCCCATGTCAGCCTGAACCTCAGTTTGACTGTATAGGACTGGATTTATTATTTTCAATTTGTGTCTGAGTCTATAGAGTCTTTAATGTTTGAGTAATTAATACTGTATTTTAAGTACAATACAATATTAATAGCTTCAATTAATTCACCACCTGAGTCCATGAGAATCACCAATAGACAGCTCCCAAACTAAGAGACAATAAGCTTTCTTTACCAGTTAGATATTAAAAATTTTTAACAGTGCTACTCAACAAACTCTATAATACATTATCACAAGTGACAAAGATGAGTCACGTCTTTACTTTATAGAGATCTTGCACCCGGTTAGTAAGCCTTCCTGCTATAGCCACTAACTTGAGTTGACCTCAGTCTTTATCAGTTTAATTCTTTGTATCTTTATAAGCTGCTGTTTCTTTTTCAAAGACCATTTCATAATGTGTGACTTCAGTTGTTTTCATAAAACTCAAAGCATCATACCACCATCACATGCGAGTATATCTACAGCACCCACGCAGAATGTTCAACCACTGAAATAACCAGATACAGAGACATGCCAAACACCCTTATTTTCCAGCGTAAGAAGGAATCATTTATTTTTCTGTTCAGCTTGCTGAGTTGATGGTAGCAGTCAATAAAAAAAAAAAAAAAAAAAAAAAAAAAAAAAAAAAAAAAAAAAAAAAAAAAAAAAAAAAACAACACACACAAAAAAAGAAACCCAACTCTGCACTCTAGACCTAATTGTAACGCTGCCTCCTCCTCTTCAAGTATCTTCTCGACTCCTCACCTCCCGCCTCTTCACCAGCCTCTGACCTCCTCTTCTGCCTTTTCTTCACTTAATAAGGAAGCTGAGAGACAGAGGATTAAAAGGTAGAGCAGAAAGGGGGAAACAATGGGCAGAGAAGAAATAACAGATACAAATAACATGCTTTTTGTGCTTGTGTCTCACAATAACACCATACAATTTTAGCAAAGTCCACAAACCCAACAACTAAAAACATGCTGCTGTTGATGATTCACTTGTTGTAGAGTGTCTAGATGTGTGCAATCACTCAAGCACTTGTTGAAGACGTGTCTGTGTTTATCAAGCACAAAAGGAAAGCGAGGAGTAGTTGACTTACCTCTACATATGCAATTTGAAACTCAAAACATGCACTTTACTAACAGATACAAAGTCAGTCAAATGCAATTTAAAATGGCCTTTCTTGGTGCTCAGCATAAAGAAATGCATTATCATATTATATAAAATTCACATTTGCTTCCTAGACTACTTCAGAGATATTACTGACTGCTTCCTCTTTATTGCTAAATATTTGAAATGTTAAGTACACAGTGTATAACAATTATTGGCACAATGACCTTGTTTTTAGGAATTCAAATCTTTTCACATTTCGCATTTAAAGAACTGGCTACTGCTTCACTGCTCTACAAATCACATTTCATACTTCTATAACCTTTTTTTATTTTGTAAAGTTGAATTGATTAACACGTAGGAGCAACAGAGAAGTCTCAGCAAAGCATCCCCACCTCAAATGTTTCCATGGCAACACTTTGTTTTGTAGGCTTGGGTAATTTTCAGATCATTTCCTCATTATCAGACTCAAAGAAATGTAGCAGAAATGATAAAATTTGGTAATTACAGAGCTATAAAATAAAGTGTTGTCAGTTTTATAACACAGCTAAACCTTTTATCAATGCAGATTGAGTCTCAAGACAGCAAACACTGGCACATTGAAATTTGAACCTAAATCCTGCCACAAGGTAACAACGGGGTTCAAGCCACCATGTCAATAAATTATCTGCCCTGGTGAAGTGTTTCCTATCACACATTAAATCTTTGTTATGTAGTGCTGACCTTTAGCGCAAAGCGGGACCAGATTTCTGCTGTTCTGGCTCACTAAGCTGCCGGGTTTTAGTGTCCAAGCTCATATACTATTTGACAAGCCACAGAAAACATCCATGAGGATTCGTGATTTCAAATATCCAAGGTAAAGAAGAAAAGGTGTGCGAATATACTGTACACATTGAGTGTATTACAAAACATCAAAGAAATGTTATGAGCCAGCAAGGTCAGTTATTGAAGTCTTAGCTGTAGAGAAAGAATTTTGGCTCTGTAGCTTGTATGTTTTGGAGAGAGTGTTTTCAATCGAACTACTGTCTTAAAATCAAAGGAATAATGAGAACAGATGGATCCTGTTTTGGCCCATTTTAACCATGTTTGCAATAGCTCAGCAGTGATTTTATGTCAGCTTCAGTGGTTTTTAAGATTCACTGCATGCTTGTAACTGTCGAATAGGCTGGAAGAAACGTGTGCAAGCATCTGTACAGTATGGTTGCTGTACTTACCTGTAGGGGTATCCATGGTACTTGGACCTGAAAATGGAGAGCAGGAAGCTGAAGAAAAACACCACCAGGCCAAGGCCGACCAGGCAGATGACTGCAAAGAGAAGTATACAGACTCTCATCACACTACGCTGTCGGTTAGAAGGGCAGTATCACTATGTAACATTAGGTTAAGAAACAGTATAATTTCTTAAGGGAAGTACTCTCAGTACACTTAATGTGTTTGAGTTAACATATTTTTCCTACTTTTTGCAGTCACCCTAATATTTGCATAAAAATTATTAGACAATGGCCTGTGAGAAAAATTTGATTCCTGGCCAAAGGCATCCACTTAAATCATTTCATGCACATTATAACCACTGATGCAACTCTCTGTTTGATCTCGGTTCAAATTAAATGTGCTTGCAGGGTTTACACATGACACACACCGAATATATCCTCTTCTGTTCACGCTGGTGTTTGGTTGGTGGTTCACAAACAAACTACACAAGCCAACATACACACAGTCCAGTGAGTACACAAAAAGACATTCATCATTTGCTAAAATGCTACAGAAAAAAAGGACATCTAAAACAGTCGCTGTGCTTGTCATCAAGCCAAAAACCTTTAGTTTACTTGGACAGTCCCTCCGCCGCTTCGTGCCACCGCTTCTTTCTCATTATCAACCCTGCTGTGTTGCAAAAAATTGTGTTTGCAGCTATTATCATCTTATTTCCTCAGTGGCTATTCTAAAGTGAAATTATACATAAGCATTTAATCTGTGTGTGCCAGTATGTGTGGGCGTCTAAGTGTATGCACACACCCCAACATAGCGGCTAATCCCTGAGAAGCGCTATGTTAAATTAAACTGTCATCACCAACTAATATTGCTAATCAGGGATTAGGATGAAACCCTCTCCTGGAGATTAACTGGTAAGATACCCGCATGCTCCTCAGTGTGTGTGTTTGCACATGCACGTAAGTATGCGACAGGAACAGAGACAGAGAGAGAGAAGGCAATGTCAGAACAAAAGATATGGCTTGGAAAATTTATGACGGCTTCACAGTGTCGATTTGTGTGGATGTGCTGTCATTCATCTTCACAGCTCCGGTGGTCTGTGTGTGTCTATTGTGATCTGTAATGCATCTATGTATAAGTCTACATTTGCTGCCATCGCTCAGTGTCAGTTCCATAACTATCCCCCTTCATTTCTTTACTTCACATTCTCTGCATAGCCTCCATTTACAGTTCAGCATAAGAATAATGGAATATGCACACAAACCACAGAGCCGGCCTTGCGCTGTGTGTCTGCGTGCATGTGTGTGAGAGAGAGAGACAGCAATTGATATGACATTCAAGTCCTAATCCATCTACCACAGGCATAAACACTTACATATACAAACACACAGGGGCACCACTCAGCAATCACTGAATGTGTGTGAGCATTTTCTGTCACTTCTATTCCTGTGAGGACCAAAGAACATCAGCTGCAAGGGTGAATGGTTTAACACGCTCTTTACTTAAAATGTATTATATTTAAGAGGTGAGAGGACAGACCTGGAGCTGAATAAAGGTTACACTAATAACTAATTCAAGAGAATGTCCAGCCAAACATTGTAAAACAAAGCTGTGTCTGACTGACACTGCATATTTGAGTGTGTCTCCCCAGGGGAAGCCCTTATGTCCTTGTGTTCCCTGGGTTGCCACATTTATTGTGCATATGTTGCAGTGAGTGCATGGACGACACAACATCTGTGTATATTCATTACGTACAGTGGGATCTATTTCACTTAGTTCATCAATTATGACTGAGAGGTATCTCAGTTTGCATTCAATGATAATGACACTTCCCACACGCACGTGCACTAAGCATGCCTAAGCATATGCTAAGTGATTTATGACCTTGGCAAAATGACAAGTTGTTTAAGCTGAATGTTTTCCCTTGGTAACAAAGGTGGTAATCCCTCTTTTGACTGTACGACTTGGCTCATTTCAAATCATGATATAGTGGCATGGTAAAAATAAATGTATATTTCCTAAGCAGGAGGAAGCCTGCACACTTTAAGTTAAGCCTATCTCATTAGGAGGATAAATATGAATACATATTGTGATATTAAGCAGTACTTGGCTGTTTATTCATTTATTAGCAAATGGCTGCAAGAAACATTAAGTGACTCTACCTCTGGATACGATCATCCACAAGATGCTGTTTTTACACCAAACTGTGACAGAAAACCTAGTTTTTTTTTTTGGCTTCAACCAGATTTTGTGGGTGAATTCTAAGTTCATGGTTTGTCGTACTATGTCCAACAAAAATTTGACTTACTGGCTTCACACATTCCAAATCAAAAATTATAAGCCTTTCAACCCCAAATCCCTCAGACCTTAATAATGAAACAATCACACATACGGTATCCACTGACTCTTCACATGATTTCTATCGAAGTCCTTGAATTTTGGGGTCATGTCCTGTGCTTGGCTGAATATCATTTTAACTCCAATAACTTTCCACAGCTTTGAAATCAGGTACAGCTACGCTGCATGCTGACATTTCACCAGAGGGTTATTGTGCTTTTTGGGCTGTCTCTCTACTGTATTCTGTTCTTTCACAGACCAATCCCATTTGCTCCTGACTCTTCACTTTCACGTTCCTTTTGTTGATCCCACCCCCACCGTGAGATTGCGTATGTAGTGATTTTCTAACTCCATCTACGTGTTCAGCAACGCCCCTGCTGAGAAACAGTGTGTGCACTGTGTGATTCTGGTGCATGTGCCCGTGGAAGCAGCAGATAAACTTCCTATCGCTGTACGCAGCAGAATGAAAACTATATGCCAAGGATGTAACACCCACATCTAGTGATTACAAAACAATTCAAGCTTAATCCTCTCTTACTGACAGATAGCTGTTCTCTGTGTTACTACATAATGCAATTTGTATGTCCATATGAGTGTGTGCCTGTGCCATTCCAGTGACAATGCTGTGTGGAATAGAAAATAGTTTAGGTTTGTGTGTTGGCACTGTATGATTAACAGGTTTCTGTAAACATTAGTATGCTTGCGCAGCAGTACAGTGTAATCTGCTTCAGTGTACTGAAATTAACAGGCTGCAATTATACAAACAAGGCAACTGAATTAAAGTAACTAATATATACTGGCAAACCAACCAGACATCATGGTAGTAGATAAGGAACCGAATGAGGTACTGGTGATAAACATGTGATAGGCAGTTTCAAGTGACAGAAACATCAAGAAGAAGGACTATTAGAAGCTGGAGAGGTACCAGGGCCCGAAAGAGGAACTGGAGAAGATGTGGAAGGTGAAGGGCAAAGTGGTCCTAGTGGTGGTAGGAGCACTCGGAGTTGTGACTCCTAAACTGGAAGAGTGGCTCCAACAGATCCCAGGAACGACATCAGAGCTCTCTGTCCAGAAGAGTGCAGTGCTAAGTACAGCTAAGATACTGTGCTCAACCCTCAAACCCCCAGGCCTCTGGTAGAGGACTGGAGGCTGAGGAAGACACACACCGCCAGGTATGGGTGTGAAGGGGAATATAGATACATATGTATAAATATTAGGGCTATCAAAGTTAGCGCAATAATAACAAGTTAATGCAAATATTTTTGACAACAGCGATAGCTAAATGGGTGGCTACAGCTTGCAGGTGGATTAACACTGTGAAGGACGAGGGTCTGCTTGACATAATTTGCATCGCATCCAAAGGCTGCATGTATGAGCTGCCTTCAAGAGCCACCACTGTAACCAAGATACACAAGATGAGAAAACTAAAGTAGAGGAAGTGTCGGGACAGAGAAATACACTCAACGGACACTACTGGACTTCTCTCAGCAATCACAGTTACCTCTGAGTCCCTTTAAGGTACATTTAGAACCAGTGGTGGAAGAAGTACTCAGATCCTTTACTTAAGTTGAAAGTAGCAATACAACAGTGTAAAAATACTCTGTTACAAGTAAAAGTCCTGCATTCAAAATGTTACTTAAAGTACTAAACGTAAAAGTACTCATTATGTAGAATGGCACATTTCACATTCCTGTATATCATATTATTGTGTTACTGATTCGTTATTGTGTACATCGCATTTAAAGTTGCGGTTGGTGAAGGGGGAGCTAGTTTTAACTGGCTTATATGCATTTAATATGAATTACTGCTGGGTAGCTTGTGAATTTTCCTAAAAAGAGAAGGAAAGGAAATGAACAAAGAGTAAGATGGAAGACAGAAAGAAAGGAAGAAAGAAAGAATACAGCAGACAGGAAGACAGAGCTGTTAGAACTGTAGCACAGGGAAAATGGAGTTCCCTGAGCTGCACAGGTGATATGTCAGTCTTACACAGGTAGCAGTTATGTAAGCACATATGCATATGTGTTCAGTCTGATACTGAAGAACAAGTCTTGAGGTAGTTGTGAAGTCATTATCATTTTAATTGCCAAGCCTCAGTATCTGAAGGAGAACTCATGGGTAGAGCAGAACAAAAAATTGTTCTTGTCTTTACATTTTTTTTTATATGTGTGTGCAGTGTGTTGTCTCAGAGACAATTGAAAGGCTTCTCGAGTTGCTTTTTTATCGCACTGACTAATTAAAATCCACTTGTGTGTAACTGCGTCTACGTGTTTGAGATAATTACTAGTTTAGGCTATCTAATATCTAACTTCCCCCTCTCTAGAGATTATGTAGAAACTCTGCTTGGACACTAAAGAAACAATGTTGAAAGCCAGTAGGGCCAAGTGATCACTTCCCATCTGAAATGATGAACCATGTTACACCCTCAACACCTCTAGACAAGACTCATCAGGAGGTGTCAGGGACTAGCTGCCCTTCAATCTACAGATGTCTTTTTTTAGTACATTGGTGATCCTTGTTGGAACAAAACACATTAATGTGTTTTTGGAGAAGAAAAGTGGAGAAAATGACATGCTTCCTGAAGTGTCTTCTTTGAAGTAATTTTGAATGTCTTAGCATTTGAGAGGGCAATTTATATTTCACAGAAACCCCACAAGACATGACATCAATTTAATCATCCCCTCTGTGACCTTGTATTTTACAATTTATGCTACTCGCTCAGACTTTTGACAAAATCAGTTTCACTGTTTGAAGTCTTCCCAATTTGTCACAGTAAAGCAAAACCACAAAAAACACCACGGGCTACAGGGAGAGACAAGTACAAACATCCCCCTTGCTAAATGACATTAACACAGTTGCTGGCATTTCTGGCAGTAACAATTCGGGTAGATACCAATTACAAAACCAATTATAGTTTATTCAGTTGTATATTTTTTAAAAAGTAGGCAGAATGACAGGGAAAAAAGGGTGGAAATAAAAAATAAGCAAACTGGAGGAGACAATGCAGGAATACAGATGAATTTGTTAATAGAGGTGCTACTACACAACTGGGATTTTACTTGTTTGATTAGACATTAACACATGCTCATTTGGCTACAGACAGTGAGGGAATCTACAAAGATGTCTGCCATATCTACTACTATGCATCTTCCACCTGCTCTGGTATGTGAGTCCTCTTGAAGCCAGATGTAGACTTCTGTGTTACTGTTAGTGCACGTATGGGAACATGTTGACACCTACGCAGTTGCAGACAAATCTAAATTAAGCTTGACTTGTAACAGCTGATCTGCTCCCTCTGCTACAGTGGTCTTATTTTTAATTTGTTCTGAGTAGGATCTGTCATTCCTTTTATTTAACATTTGAATTTATTTTACTTACAATTACACTTTCAATAATGTTTTAAGCATAATATTTCCTATATCATTCAATTTAGCAGTAGACTGACATTGTTATTTTTCAAGTACAAGACTTTTTTAATGGTTCAGGTGAATTGCAGCCTTGGTAAACAAAGAATTCAGAATCTCTTTCCTTTATTAATATGCAGCCTATACAGGCATAACTGAAATGAGGCTGATATCTGATTTTCTGAGCATGCTAGTTACCACCAAATTGTACCTTTAAACTCTCATTCACTTGCAAAATGTGACTCGTTAGTTGGTGACTGCATAATAAGCTGCTGATGTAGTAAATTAGTCACTAATTTCATGCAGACTGAGTGCAAATTGAGTACTATTATTTGTGCCTTTATTTTGCATTTTTCTGCCATTTAGGGAGCTCGCAGACAGACCCAGCTGGATTCCAACTGAAATTACTGTGCATGTGGTACAAATCTGGCTCCTACTTGAATGTGAAGATGAACATTCTTGAGAGACATTTTTCAGTATCAGACTGCCTGTGCACTTCTAAATGCACATAAACTTGAGTGCATATGATAAGTAACTTTTAAGATTAACAGGACTAAATGCAAGGATTTTCTTGTTAAGCCAAATCAAGATCAGGTTCTTTTTGATATATAAATTGACCTGCTAGTCAAAGTTTAGTATCAACCACAGCTCATGTACATTTAGACAAGGGCATATGATTACAGTATATATAAAGAAATAAAGTTAATCAAGGACTCCCCAGCTATTTCTAAACACTATAATTGTGTATTCAGAGGCGTGTATGGGGCAGGTGATGGGTCATCTCAATGATTAACCGAAGAGTGAAACAAGAGCTTCTCATTTTTAGAACTGCTCTAGGTAATTGACAGGATATGTAAATACACATCACACTACAGGAAGTACAGTGACAATATGGTTCATCTATGTCTTGTGTGTGTGTGTGTGTGTGTGTGTGTGTGTGTGTGTACAGCAGTTGCCCATCCCAAGCATACAGTCCAGCACTACAGTTAAATACAGAACACGTTTTATCAGCTTAATAACGAATCTCCCAGTAATGAACATACCAAAACATAATCTGTCAAAACATTTACAGCTACTCCGATGTACACTAAACTCATTCATGTTGTCTGTAGATTTACTGTCCATAAAAGGCTCTTTAAGAGAGGTATGTAGTACAATGAGGGGCTGGCAGGTGCATCTCCCTCAAAGCTGCTGGTGTCAACAGATCATCAAGATTAAGCTCACAGTGACTTAAAAATGACTTTCTGGTAATCTTCAACTTTTGATTTAGAGTTCTCTAAAATCACACACAAAAACTTTTCACTTGCTGCTAGTAGGATTTTTAGATGGAGTATACTGTGAAACTGTATGAGAGGTTTAAAATATGGCAAGTTTCTGACAACTTTGAAACTTCTGCTGCAATGGATGTTTGTTTTGTTTGTTTAAGGCTCTTTTTTCCCCATATTGACTTCCTTTTGTCGATTTACTGTTTTATTTTTTATCTTACTTCCTGACACAAAAGAAGACTGATGATACAGTATGTTCCTGCTTGTGGGTGTGTGTTTGAACATCTGTTTGTGTGCCGTCTGTTCTGTTACAGATATGTATTCAGTGTGCATGTGTTGGCCATATTGTTCAACATCCTTCTGTAAGAAGGCTGGCATCTTGCTATAACCAAGGGAGCAACTGTCATCTGTGTTGCATGCGTGATATTTGTGATGCCATCCTGATTCTCTTACAATAAATAAGAGGAAACCCATAAACATTTGTCCTATTCACTGTAGCCTGGAGTGGTTGTGAAGTAATGAAATGCTATTTTCTGGTGATAGAAAGCGGTAGCGAGAGGACTCACAAAGAAATAACCACTTATGAAGTTGGCGATGGAGCATGCAGTAGGTCCAACCTTAAAGTCTCAGCACTCAGGGTAACACACAAAATCCTGAGCAGCAAAAGGATTTCCTTGCTGTTAATATCATAGTCAGGAGGTGTTATTTTCTAAGATGAGACCAAACTGTAAACAGCAGCTAGAAGAATTTATTGTCAAAACCTGAACATGTGGCTTGCCTTTGATCATTACTAATTTCAATTAGCCATGTGCATTTAAAACAAACATGGACAAGTTCATCTAATTCCATGTGTATGTTTTTCTCTGTTATAATTATAAAACATCATACTATACTTAACATATACATGTTATATGTGCATATTGTACTTTAAGAATTAATGCTTTACAGTGTTAGTGTGTTTATGCTACAAGAATTTGACCCTCTACTGCACTAGTGCTACTTTGTATAACATGGATTTCTATGCATACACAAGGTGTGTTGCAAAGATAAATCACTTACTTGGTAGTAACAAGGCGGCTCTAACAACTATCCCACCCATCTTAAACACACACACACAGACACACATCCTGACAAGTGCTTCATTCGGTATACTGCAGAACTGAGGACCTGGAGCTTGAAGATGGAAAGAATAAGGACAATAGTAAAAGAAAAACTGAAAACAGTCTTTTTTTTTACTTACTTCTCCTCTTGCCAACATCTCCCTTGGAGGTGGCAGCCTCATTCAGCAGCACCATCCCCATGGTGATTGCAGCATCTGGGACATGGTTGTTAAGGAAACACTGCACTTCCATAAAGGAAAGGAAGAAGCTGAAAGTAAACAGGGAGAACTGCTGGACATATGTGTGCACAGAAGTAGTCAAGCAAGTGTATTTTATAATGCAATCTGCACATTTGCCCTAGAACACAGTCCAACAAATTAATAGATCATAACTTTCATGCTTTGTAGACACTATGCAGAAAGGGGTTAAGTAAACTGCTAATTTCATGGAGCATAGTTAATGTTGTATTGCACTGTATCATATGCTGTAATAGAAAACTAAAATAAAAATTGTTGGGTAAAATTATTAACAAAGTCATACTTTAAGGTTGATTCTAACATTTGAAGAACACGCTGCAAAATCAAAAGAGACCTTTCAGACAAGTCGCTCTCCCTCTTCCAAAATATTTTAGGAACAAGTCAAATTAATCACAGGCAGTTTAGTGCTGTTTATAGAGGGATCAAATGGCAACACAACCCGTTTTTTATGTTGTTGAAAGAAATGTCCCGCCTAGCCTTGGAAAGAAAATATAATGTATTCCCAGTTCGGTGGTTGTATTTAAAAGCCCAGCGTGGGGCTTGGTTTTGTCAAGTCAACTTTGCAAACATAACAAGCTAACAAAGGCACAGAGTACACATTAACACAGATACACAGTAATACAGCGTAACCTTAAAGACGCATGCACATGCATACACACACTTTTTTCTCAGAGATACAGTAGGCTGAAAAGGAGAAATGTATTTCTTTTTTTATGTTGCCAGCACCACTGAATATTCCAGGGACAGCTGAAGAAGCAGTTCTTTTCTGTCCACTGTACAACTTCTTGACTTTTGTCTTATTTATTTATTTTGTTGCTTTTCATGTAGGCATAACTTCAACTCATGAATAATGCCAGGGGCTTCGCTTACAACAGTGCGTTCTTTCCAGACTGCAGTACAGAGTGTGTGCAGGAAAACCAAAGTGTGCAGAAGTAAGAGTTTTAGAAGATCTGAATTCAAAAATATTAATGTGGATATTCAGCTTTAAGAATGCTTGTTTGATGTCTACAACATCTACCTGGTGTACGAATGGCAAACATACTTTCTCTACACCTGGTTCTGAAGCTTTGTGTGCCCTAAGAACTGTGCATGGGCAGAAAAGACAAACATGAGCAAAGTCAATTATTAAGTTAAACCATGTAATAAACAAACAGCATAATTTGTTTACAGAAATAACATATGAGGCAGACATCTCCACGCTTCTGTAGAACATTATGCTCTCAAGTAGTGTAAATTGTCAAGCATTATAACAGCACAGAGTTGTAGAAAGGAAAAACAGTTTAATCCTGAATGACCTTATTCTGAATCTTGTTGACAAGGAAATGAAAAAGTCATTGCTGCATTGCTGCTCATCTGTTACCTGCAAATACTTTTTTACATTTTTGTAAATGCATTCCTAAATCTGTGGTTACCATTGCAGATCCCACTGACCATGGGGACAGAGCTTAGGCTGGGCAGGTACCTACTGCAAATGTGGATCTGTAAAACCCAGTGAGACATATTCGGACTTCAATCAGCTGATCATTTTCCATGGATTAAGTGCGGTATGTACTGTAGCTTCTGGTAAAGCAATATAACAAACATTTAATTATGAACAGTTCATACAATATTGTGAACATCTATATTTTACAGAAGCAAGCATTGCTCCATTCTTCGCCTCAGCTGTTCCGAATTCATGGCAAAAGCGCAGCCTCACATGGGTTGAGACCTAATTACAGGTTCTTCTCTTCAGTGTGCTTTGCATACAAATCCACACAAGTGAAGAAAACCTGACAGGGTGCACAAGCAAAGGCTGCCACATGGGGAGATACAGAGCAAAAACAGAGGCATCCTCTTGATAACAGGGATATGCTGGCGACACACAAACACTAGAGATATCTCCTCATTCAACATTGGAACTGAACCATATAGGGTGAATGGTAATGGGAAGCTTTGTTACAGTGTGATAACAAAGCCATGATACTAGAGATCTGTCAGTGTATAGAATATGGCTGTGCAAATGTATTGAATTATAATTATAAAAACAGACCTTTTTCCAGGACAGGTCTCCTATAACCGCACGTGTACAGAAACAGAAAGCTTATTAACTTAAACAGCCCACTGTGCACTGCCACCATGGAAAGTTTCCAATCAAGTCAATCCCTATTGCCAGTTCTGCTGTCTGCATTGATTATATCAGTCATGATGCATCCCGGTCATTCCAGAAAATAATTATGCTACATTCACCTGTATATCATTAGAATAAAAATGTATTCATTATCAATAATGAATAGACCCAACTTTGGGTAAGCGGTCGATAATGAATGGATAGCTAGATGGATGGATGGTATTTAGGAGCATTCAAGACACTGGGGGTATCAGAATGTTAATTTCCCACCTTGACTGTGTCTTCACTACTGGGTAGCTGGGAATTTTACCAATATGGACAGACTGAACTGCAAATGTTTACTGGAGATCAATCAAACTGGGACAGTTGACAAGGGTGTGTTTGTCTATAAGTCATGCGTGTGTTAGAATATGCACCTGAAAGAAATACTTCTTTTACTGTTACTGTCTCATCGAAAAATAGTATAGTTGTGGAAGTGCATTTTGAACACGTGTGTGTGTTTGTGCACATATATGAGGAATTAAACGATGTATGCTTGGGGAAACTGTCTCTGATGGTCATAAATTGTGTTTACCCCACCTGCACACACAATAAGGATATTGTAAGTATGTTAGGGTTCCAGCAGGTGTGAATGCATTTGTTTCATTTACAAACCCGATTCCAAAAAAGTTGGGACACTGTACAAAATGTGAATAAAAACAATGCAATGATGTGGAAGTTTCAAATTTCAATATTTTATTCAGAATACAACATAGATGACACATCAAATGTTCAAACTGAGAAAATGCATCATTTTAAGGGAAAAATAAGGTGATTTTAAATTTCATGGCATTAACACATCTCAAAAAAGTTGGGACAAGGCCATGTTCACCACTGTGTGGAATCCCCTCTTCTTTTTATCACAGCCTGCAAACGTCTGGGGACTGAGGAGACAAGTTGCTCAAGTTTAGGAATAGGAATGTTGTCCCATTTTTGTCTAATACAGGCTTCCAGTTGCTCAACTGTCTTAGGTCTTCTTTGTCGCATCTTCCTCTTTATGATGCGCCAAATGTTTTCTATGGGTGACAGATCTGAACTGCAGGCTGGCCGTTTCAGTACCCGGATCCTTCTTCTACACAGCCATGATGTTGTAATTGATGCAGTATGTGGTCTGGCATTGTCCTGTTGGAAGATGCAAGGTCTTCCCTGAAAGAGACGACGTCTGGATGGGAGCATATGTTGTTCTAGAACTTGGACATACCGTTCAGCATTGATGGTGCCTTTCCAGATGTGTAAGCTGCCCATGCCACACGCACTCATGCAACCCCATACCATCAGAGATGCAGGCTTCTGAATCGAGCGCTGATAACACCTTGGGTTGTCCTTGTCCTCTTTAGTTCGGATGACATGGCGTCCCAGTTTTCTGAATGGCACGGCGGATTGTGTTCACCAACAATGTTTTCTGGAAGTATTCCTGAGCCCATGTTGTGATTTCCATTACAGTAGCATTCCTGTATGTGATGCAGTGCCGTCTAAGGGCCCGAAGATCACGGGCATCCAGTATGGTTTTCCGGCCTTGACCCTTACGCACGGAGATTGTTCCAGATTCTCTGAATCTTTGGATGATATTATGCACTGTAGATGATGATAACTTCACACTCTTTGCAATTCTTCTCTGAGAAACTCCTTTCTGATATTGCTCCACTATTTTTCGCCGCAGCATTGGGGGAATTGGCGATCCTCTGCCCATCTTGACTTCTGAGAGACACTGCCACTCTGAGAGGCTCTTTTTATACCCAATCATGTTGCCAATTGACCTGATAAGATGCAAATGTCTCACTTTCAACATTTGATATGTTATCTATATTCTATTCTGAATAAAATACTGGAATTTCAACCTTCCACATCATTGGATTCTGCTTTTATTCACATTTTGTACAGTGTCCCAACTTTTTTGGAATCAGGTTTGTAGATGTAATTAGAAAAATGAATAAATAAATAAACTGTGCGACTGCGCAGAAACTAATATTTCTCTGCGGCAGGTGTGACCTTGAACCAGTTATTTCCTGTTAAGACGAAGACAAAAACAGGGCAATCTCTTGTCTTTACATTGTCTGTCTGTTCATTCCAGCGGGCAGCCTCCCTCTTGAAAATGCACATAGGTGACAAAGGCTTTGTGTTGAGAAAATCAATGTGGCAGACTGCAAAAGTGGATGCTGTTTCAAACATTAAAAAAAGCTTCTTAGATGTTGTGTGTAAGCAGAGAATTAAAGGAATATGTTGCCAAGATGAGCTGTTGGACACCCACTATGTTTCAGTTTATGTCAGCACAACAAACATACACACACAAACATACCGGTGAAAGGATACTCAGAAGAAGGATAATGTGAGACTCAGCCACAAACTGAGCTTGACTGCTGCCATGAATATAACTCTGTGGGAGAGATGGAGAGGGAAAGCAACAGACACATTAGTTTAACAGTTTTCATTTCAATTCACATGTAAGTGTGTGTGTGTGTCTGAGTGCTGTGAGTCATAAAGAATTCTCTCATGTAGTGTGTAGGTACAAGAGGTGCTACCTTTTCACTGAGTGGGCAGGGGAGGTCAATCTAACCCTGCAGTAACACTCAGAGACACAAAAACATACAAGACTATAGTAGCTTGCAATTACAGTCCAATCTCTAAAAGCAGACTTTCACTATTAACTTGACGCTACTGTATGATCTCTTAATTCATCTATCCTGCATTAATGCTGCTTCCAAATCGTTTAGAGAACAAAAAATGAAGCAAGTTTTCACTTTGGTGCAGCAAACATAACACACATGAAATCATTTATCTAGATTTCAATTCTTTTAGAGATACAAAAGATGCTACTTTTGGTCATTTTTCGTGCCCTTTACAACACATTCATTTACGTAACGGTATAATCAAATACATGTAGGCTGCAGTCAAAGGCTGTCATTTGTTAACTTTCAGTGGCTGCCAAGCTTGAAGAGGGTGGGTCTTATATAATATGAGCTGGTGTGAGACGGCAGATGCCAGACGAGCATGAGTGGAAGGGGGTTGGTGAGTTGTGGGCTGCTGAGGCCATGACAATGGCCATGATGGCCAATGGCACGTATGAGTGTTTTAGGAGTTTGTAGCATTTACCAGTTTTCTTGAACGGGGGAAATAAACTAAAAACGAATTAATGCCTTAAAGTGAATACATTGGAGTCTAAATAAAATGTTAAAAGTGACTGAAGTCATAAGAGGTAAACTATATAACTAATGATGTAATCATCATCATGACTTTAAGAGTTCTTTAGACTTTAGCTTTCTTACACATTGGCTGTTTTGGCACACACACACAAACCTTACACAGTTCAGTGGTTAGGAAAATTTTCTCACACAGCTGCCTGAGGGTCTTTATGCACATTACAGTATCACCACCCATGGCTGCCAACAGCATGCCATCACTTGCTAAAGGCTGTAATATTCCCTAGTCTAATATCGCTGCAACTGTCACATGACTGCCTCATATTAGGTATTGATCGCTTTACTGTAGAAAGGCACTTTTTAACATCCGATTTCATGTCAAATGATAGGCCATGCCACAGTACACCACTGCTCTGATGATGTTACTGACAGCTTAAGTAACAGTTTCAGTGTTTAGCCTAAGGTGAGGTCATTTTAGATTATGCCTCTATCGGGAGTTGTTTGAGAAAGTGATAAAAGTTAGGGTTAGGGTTATTAATTTAATCTTTGCAAAGTTTGCATACCCACCAGTGTCACTTGGCTCCAACATTGTATTTGTCTGATCAGCTGGCTAGTTAGAACG